AGCAACATTTTTTTATAAATCAATTGCTTATGCAAGTGTAAGAGAATAAGAGATGTTATACAAAACTAATACTAGTACAAATATAATTACTCCTTTTTCCCCTTTAATAAAATTGCTTATTTATTTTAATGCGTAAGCAAGATAATTATTAAAAAAAGTAAATGCAAGGATTGTAACCTTTGGTTACAACTATTGCATATGCAAGGGAGAAAAAAATTTTTGCTATGCGTAGTAATAAAAAAATATAGCAAAGCAAGGTAAAGATAGCTATTGCAAGATAAGATAAGATAAGATAAAAGTTGCATTAGCAGATTAAGGATTGCATCTGCAAGTCATAAAGTCTTGCTGCGCTAGGCTATTTTATTAAAAATGTTTGAAAAAATAGGATAAGAGGAAAGAAATGATAAATAATAGTAGTAGCTTCGCAACAATTATAATATTAAAATCTTTATTATTAAATTTAATAGATGTATTAACTATAGTACTTCCTATGTTATTAGCAGTTGCTTTTATGACAATAATAGAAAGAAAACAATTAGCAGCACATCAGAGAAGAGTAGGACCAAATACAGTAGGATATTATGGAGTATTACAACCCTTTGCAGATGCTTTAAAATTAATATTAAAGGAAACAGTAATACCTTCACAATCTAATAAAGTAATATTTTATTTAGCTCCAGTATCATCATTAATATTTAGTTTATTAGGATGGGGTATAATTCCTTTTGGACAAGGTTTAGCAATATCTGATTTATCAATAGGAATATTATATACTTTAGCTTTATCTTCATTAGGGATATATGGTGTTTTATTAGCAGGTTGGTCAGCAAATTCTAAATATGCTTTTTTAGGATCTTTAAGATCAACAGCAGCAATGATATCATATGAATTAATTTTAAGTTCTGCAATATTAATAATAATTATATTAACAGGTTCATTAAATTATATGACTATTATTGAAACACAAATTTCAGTTTGGTTTATTTTCCCTTTATTACCTGTTTTTATTTTTTATTTTATTGCTATTTTAGCGGAAACTTCTAGAACACCTTTTGATTTACAAGAAGCAGAATCAGAATTAGTTGCTGGATTCTTTACTGAACATTCTTCAGTACCTTTTGTATTCTTCTTCTTAGCTGAATATTCTTCTATTGTATTATTTAGTTGTATAACTGCTATATTCTTTTTAGGAGGTTATCAATTACCTGAATTATTTGTAAATAATTCTGTATTTAATATTCAATCTATTATTTTAGGTTTAAAAACATGTATTTTCTGTTTCTTTTTTGTATGGTTCAGAGCTACATTACCTAGATTAAGATATGATCAATTAATAGAATTATGTTGGTTAAATCTATTACCTGTTTGTGTCGCATTCATAATTTTAATACCAAGTATATTAATAGCATTCAATATATCACCTTACTAACTGCAGCAATTTAAATATATACCAAAGCAGAGGAGTTGCTTCGCTAGAGGAGAGGAGAATTTTTAATCATTAAAAATAAAAGAAGTCCTTTTTATTTATTGCATTAGCTACTAATAACTTAAGCAAGTAAACCCCCCTAGCTTTAAATATAAAATAAATTACAATACTTATTCCACTCCACTAGCGAAGCAACTCCACTCCACTAATAACTATTTAAACTGTTGCTAAAACTAATATGCTATAATTACTTGTATTAGTTGCTAATGCAATGGAATAAGACTTATTATTATAGCGAGTATGCTGAAATTGGTAGCCAGGTGAATCTTAGGAATTCATGAAATTTTTCGTAAGAGTTCAAGTCTCTTTGCTCGTAAAAAATAATTATAAAAGAGGTAAGATTAGTTTAATTGGTAAAATGATGTCTTGTGGCGACAATGTTCAGAGTTCGAGTCTCTGACCTACCCTCGACATGTTCAGAGTTCGAGTCTCTGACCTTACCCTAACTTTTTTATTTATGTTACTCACCCAATTTATTTATAATTTTGACAACTTGAATAAATAATATTTAAAAGGACTTATATTATTTAAAGAAAATATTATTCATTATTATAAAGTACTCATCTATTACTCACCTTAACTTCTCAATTATCGAAGGTAGAAGGTAAGAGCAAGAATTATAGTTAAATAATTAATTTTTTTTATAAATGAGTTTTATATATACTTGAGAATGAGTTGCTTCGCTAGAGAATGAGTTGCTTCGCTAGAGAATGAGAATGAGTTGCTTCGCTAGAGAAGTAAAAATAATCAGTAATGGGGGGGGGGGGTGTTGTGTGGGGTAAAAATGTTAGGTAAAATAATTAAGCAAATAAAATAACCATAGAAGAAACTAAATAAATAATAAATAATCTCATTTCAATAAATACAGTACTATCCATCAACATAGGAGTAAATACTAATAAAATTAAAGATAATAAACCAATAGTAATATATAAAGAATAAGTTGTAATAATACCAGTATCTAATTTAGCAATATTTTTACCTGCATTATAGAAATTATTAGATAATCCAAAAGGACCAAATAATTCAATACTTCCTCTATCAATTTCTTTAGATATTTTATAACCTAGTTGTAAACCTTTATTAACAAAGAAATGGTTATATAAAACATCAAAGTAATATTTACTATTAAAGAAAGAATAAACTTTTTTAATAAAGGCAAAATAATTACTTGCTTCGCTAATAGTTGTTATATTAAATAATAATTGATTCATTGGATTAGGGAAAATATTATATATAAATATTGCAGTAAATGCTCCAAATAAACTGATAAAAGCAGGTAATAATTTAATTAAAGGATTTAAAGAGAATTCTGCTTCAATTAAAGCTATATTATTAGGATGAATAAAAAGAGAATTTTTAAAGAAATCAGAACCTACTCCTACGTAAACATCCGAAAGAACAAATCCAAAGAAAATACTAAAAATAGCTAATATAAATAAAGGAATTATAGTAGCTATATTAGCTTCATGACAATTTATATAAGATTCTTTAGGTCCATTAGGATAAGTTAAGAAAACTAAACTAATTAATCTAAAACTATAGAAAGCAGTTATACCTGCTGTTATAGTTCCTAAAATATAAGCATACATACCAATAAAACTATATTGACCAAAAGCTAATTCTAAAATTAAATCTTTACTATAGAAACCAGTTAAATAAGGAGTAGCTAATAAACTTAAAGTACCAACTAACATAACAGAATAAGTAACAGGTAAAAATTTAATTAATCCTCCCATTTTTCTTACATCTTGTTCATCAGCAAAAGCATGTATTACAGCACCTGCACCTAAAAATAATAAAGCTTTAAAGAAAGCATGATTTACAGTATGCATTAAAGCAATATTATATTGACTTAATCCAATAGCCATCATCATATATCCTAATTGTGATATTGTACTAAAAGCAATTATTCTTTTTAAATCATTCTGTAATAATCCACAACTTGCTGCAAAAAAAGCTGTACTACTTCCTATTATAGTTATTATTAATAATGATGTTGGACTATATTCTAATATTGGAGAACTTCTTAATAATAAATATATTCCAGCTGTTACTAGTGTAGCTGCATGTAATAATGCACTTACTGGTGTTGGAGCTTCCATACTTCCTGGTAACCAAGAATGTAATGGTATATTAGCACTTTTAGCTAAAGCACCACCTAATAATAATAAAGAAATAATAGTAATAGCAGTTTCATTCATATAAGGTACTAAAGTAAATATTTGATTATAATTTAAAGAACCAAATAATGCAAATATAGAAAAGAATCCAATACTCATTAACATATCTCCTCCTCTATTCATTGTAAATGCTAATATAGCAGATTTATTTGCTTGTATTCTAGTAAAATAATAATTAATTAATAAATAAGATACTACTCCTATTGCTTCCCATCCTATAAACATTACAAAATAATTTCCACCACTTATTAATATTAACATTCCTGCTGTAAAAGCTGATAAATAAGAAAAAAATCTTTGATTATGAGGATCAGTTGATAAGTAATCTATTGTATAAATATGTATTAAAGTTGAACAATATATTACAGCTAAACCTAATGATACTGTTAATTGATCAAAATAAAATTCCCATCTTATGTTCATTATTTCTGATTCTATCCAACTTCCTAAATTTATACTTACTTCTGATCCACTTAATCCTACTTCATAATAAGCTATACTTATTAATATTGAACTAAGTATTAAACAAGTACAAGTTATTATTTTTGATCCTGTAACTCCTACTTTTCTTCCTAATAATCCTGATATTAAAGATCCTATTAAAGGTAATACTATTATTGATAAATACATTAACTTCTTAATGATATTGTACCTCTTAATCTATAATATGCTACTAATATACTTAAACCTATAACTGATTCTGCTCCAGCTATTGTTATTATAAATATACTAAAAGTTTGACCTATACTGTCATCAAATCCATAAGACATAATTAATACTAATAAAGTAACTGATAATAACATTATTTCTATCGCTATTATCATTAATATAATATTCTTTCTATTTAATATAAAACCTAATATCCCTATTAAAAATAATATTAAAGGTAAATTCATTTGCTTTATGCAATTATTTATTGCTCTCCAATCCAGACCAATCCTCTGTTTAGTTCTTTAGTTACTTGCTTTAAATATTTTATTTGCATAAGCAATTTAAAAAAATATTTATCTTTTCTTTATTTTCCTCCCTCCTATTAATTCCCTTGCGATAGATAGCAATTGCTACGCAAGAAAAATATTGTAACCTTTGGTAACCAGGGCAGCAACCAGGAGTTGTTTTGGAGAAAAAAATAAATAAAAAAGGTAACTAAGTAATTCTTCTGATTCTTATTGCCTCCTACATTGTAGTAGCTTACGCAACTATTTTTCCTTTGCATAAGCAATTAAAAAAAAATTAGCAACTGCAGGAGACAGGAAAATATTTCCATTTTTGATTTTTAAACTATCTGTAGCTATCCTTAGTAGCTTACTTTCTTATGTAATAATTGCAATTATTATTGATTTTGCAAGAAGTCTCCGGCCTCCGGCCTTCGGCCTTGTTCTTAGGAAGTAGAGTAATCGAAACTCTGTCTGCAATGTGTAAAATTACTGCTAAACCACTCAGCTAACCTCCTTTTCCTCATTTTATTTATCCCTTGCATATGCAACCCTCCTGCTCGTGCAGCTGCGCTGGTAACCTTTGGTTACAACTCTCAACTCTTTGCGGTAAGCTATTAGATCGGGACAAGAATCTATAGGTGGGGGGGGGTGTTATTCTTAATAATAAGCAATTAAATTACTTACAATTTTTTATTAAAATTATGAGTAAAGTAATAAGAATGCCATCATTAATGCGAATAATCCTGTAGCTTCCGCTAAAGCGAAACCTAAGATTGCATAAGTGAATAATTGACCTCTAAGTTGTGGATTTCTTGCTGTTGCTATGATTAATGAACCAAATACTGTCCCAATCCCTGCTCCAGCTCCTATTAAACCTGAACAAGCTAAACCTGCTCCAATGTATTTTGCTGCTGCTAACATTGTAAATTTAAATAATTAATAGTGTCTATCATACTTTGGTAATTAATAAGATTTCCTTAATACTCTTATAAAAATTAATTACTAATAACAATAATAGAAAACATAGCTAATAATAAAATAAAACTTAATAATAAAAATAAAATACTTGCATAAGTGTATAAAGTATGTCCTAATACTTCAATTTGTTGGAAATCTAAAACAAATAAATCGTTTATAGTTGTTGTTGAATTATTAAGACTCTTGCTTATGCAACCAATATTTAAATCTTTTAATTCCATTGGCAATACAGAATTAACTGATACATTATTTATTTCTTGCAATTGCAATGAATTATATAAAGAATTTAAATCAATTAATAAAGAATTTAAAGAATTTAATATTCCTCCAGCATTAGCAGATCCTTCCTGTCCCGAAACAATAAATAATTGCATAAAGCTAGGATTATTAATTGCAAAAGATAAACTAGGAACGTTATATATATTTAAAGGAACAATAGTAAATATTATAAATAAAAATACTGAACCAATTATAATAGCGATTGGTAAATTTTTAGTGTATTGACTTCCTGTTTCTAAAATATCTGTTAGTTTTATATTTATCATCATTATTACAAATAAAAATAAAACAGCTATTGCACCTACATATATTACTATATATGATAAACCTAAAAATTGTATTCCTATTAATATTAAATAACCAGCTGCTGATACAAAAGTAGAAATTAAAAATATAACTGATATAACTGGATTTTTAGCTGTAATTGTTAAAATACTAGAAAGTAAAGTACCAAAAGCTAATAGATTTATAAATAAAGTTTTTATATTCATATTTTACTTATTACTTATTTTTTTTTAATTAATTTAATTATTGCTTGCTTCACTCTTCCTTTAATCTTTTTCCTTTGCTAGTTATAGTTATAGAACAAATACTTGCTTATGCAACTAGCTACAACAGATAAAGAAGTTAGCAATACAAAACTTAAAACCTTTCAATATTTTCTTCTCTTTCTCTCTACTCTACTCAACTCCTGCTGCTGCGCTGGTGTAAGCAAGGGAAACATTTATACAAGTAAATAAATTAAAGGTTAATAACTAAATTCTCCTCTTTCGGCTCTCCTGACAACTTGCATATGCAACCTTTTTTAAGAATTAATTTAGTAGGTTGTGTACCAACCAAGAAATTATGACCTATACTATTTCATTTTCCCCTCCTTAGTATTATTGCTTATTATTTTTTTCTCCTCTCCCCTCTCCTTCATGTTGCTAATGCAATTGCTACGCAAGGATTGCTTATGCAAGGAGAAAAAAATAAAGAAAGCAATTGTTACCTTTGGTTATTACCAGGAGAATAATAAAGGCAGGATGACTATGCATACATTAATATATTACAGTGAAAGCAGCAGTGTTAGCAGCTATTTTTAACAATTCTGCGTATCGCTGCTGCTCCTTTTTTGTTTAATTGCTTATGCAAGCAAGAGTTAAGAAGGAATTGAACCTTTCTTTTTTAGACTTTGCAGGTCTACTACAGAACCATCTGTAAACTTAACCCTTACGCTTCCAGCATAGTAACCGAAGGTAACTATTAATTAAAATCCTTGCATTAGCAATAATAAAAAATTACTTGCTTTTATTTTTTTTTCCTTTGTTGCATATGCAATAGTTGTAACCTTTTGTTAGTTGTTGTTATTGCATTAATTACTATTATCAGCGCAGGAATAACAACTCCTGCTGCGCTGGCGTAAGCTACTACTTGCGATTAAAAAGGAGAATTGCCAATGCAAGGAGAAAATTTATTCTTTTCCGGATTCGAACCAGAATATGCACTTTAGAAGAATGCTGTTCTAACCATTGAACTAAAAGAATTTTTATTGCAATTGCATTAATTACTATCACTAGCGCAGGAATAACAACTACAAAACTTGCGTAAGCTACAGCTGTAAATGCTGAAAATTTTATTGCATATGTTACGTTAGCTTTAGTTAGTTGTAACCTTAGCAATAAAAAAAATTTTTATTGCATTAGCAACTATCGCCACCAGGAAGGTTACAACAGGATTGCTTATGCTAGAGAAATAATAATAATTATACGGGCACTGTCGGATTCGAACCGACGACTTTTGTAAAGTACTCGTTTTCAAGACGAGCGCCATAAACCAGACTCGACCAAGTACCCTTATTTATTTTTTTCCTTGCTTCTGCAATCCTATTGCTATTAGTTATCTCTCCAAACAAAACCTCAACCTTGCATATGCAACCCTACCGATTTATCTGCAGTAATTATTTTCCTGCTACTGCACTGGTAACCTCAGCATTTGCAGTCCTGTTATTTTTTTTTTAACTACAAGCAATTGCTTCTGTTGCATATGCAAGGGAAAGATAAAACTACCTGCGATAGCAGTAAATATACTTATATATGTAAGAAATAATAATTTTTTAGTTACCTCTCCTGCCCTGCCCTGCCTTGCCCTGCCCTGCCCTGCGCTACACTAGTTATTGCATTAATTACTTGCATTGGCAACGCCAACTCATTGCTTATGCAATTGCTACCGCAAGGAGTAATAAGTAAAACTTTTAATCTTAATTTTCCACCATGAAGACCTGTGTCAAGATAAAAATTAGTTGCTTCGCTAGTGTAGCAATAGCTAGTACTCATCATTTTTATTACGTTCATTATCAGAATTATAAGTAGTAGCTTAGCTACTAGGACTAGGCTAGGCTAGGCTAGGAGAGAAAGGTTAGCATTATATTTTCTCCTAGTTGCTAGCTTATGCTAGCTGTTATTGCATTAGTTACTATTACCTAGTGAGTGGGAGGGGAGTGCAATAGTATTAGGGGGGGGGGTTAATAAATTCTTAACTTAAATTAGTGTAATTCTATAGCATCTTTTAAATATGAACAAACTAATAATGTGAAAACAAATGCTTGGATTAAAGAAACAGCTATTTCTAAACCTACTAAAGCTAAGAAAATAGTGAAAGGTATTAAAGTAATAATGGCTACAATTATATTACCAGTAAATAATTTATATAAATAAGTTGATAATATTTTTAATAATGTATGACCAGCAACAATATTAGCAAATAACCTTACTCCTAAAGATACTGCTCTAGCTAAATATGATATTAATTCAATTAATGCTAATAAAGGTACTAATCCTAAAGGAGTTCCAGCAGGAATAAAGAAAGAAAAGAATTTAACACCATGTATTGAAAGTGATAATATAGTTACACCTATAAATATTGTTAAACTTAATCCTAAAGCTACTACTCCACTAGCTGTTACAGCAAATGAATAAGGAACATTAGATATTAAATTACCAATTAATATAAAAAAGAATATTGAATAAACAAAAGGTAAATATACTTCACTATGGCTTCCTACTTGTTCTCTTACCATTGTATTTAAACTAGCAAAAGATGATTCTAATGATATAGACCATTTACTTGGAATTAAATTATAATCATTATTTCCATAAAAATGTAAACCTACTACTATTAATAAAATAAATATACTATATAAAGCTAAATTTGTTAAACTTATATGAATATAACCTAATATAGGTGCATTTATACCTATTAAACTAGTTACTTCAAATTGACTTAAAGGAGATAATATAAATAAATTTATATTAGACATTTTAATTTGATTTCTACTATAACTCTCTTACTAGCTATCGCAAGTAATTCCCTTGCATTAGCAACCGTAATTAAAAAAAATAAAAAACAATTGCTTATGCAACCGGTTGCTAATATTTATTTTTTTTTTTACTAGCAAATAAAGCTAGAAAATATATTATAGCAAGGGGAGCCATTTAATTTTACTATCACAATAATTCTACTTTTATTGTTTTTAAAAGAATAAAAACCTAGTTATTGCATTAGCAACTAATAATAGCTGCAATAGTTGTAGTTGCGTAAGCTACAACTACAAGTATTAAGCCTATAATTTAATGGTAGAATGATTTCTTGATGAGGAATTTGTAGAAGTTCAAATCTTCTTGGGCTTAAATTATTTTTTTTTCTTTTCTAGCGTAGCAATTAATCTAATCTTAAATAGCAGTTGCTTATTTTTTTAATTGCATAAGCTAGGGGGGAGCAAGTAAGTAGTTAGATTGCTAATTATTAATAAATAATAATTGCTTTTAAAAAATTTTTTTTTTTTAAGCATTAGCAACAATAAACCAATTTAAAAAAAGCAAGAGTTTCTTTCTCCTAGCGAAGCAACTCAATAGTTGTAGTTGTAGCTTACGCAACTACTTGCATTGGCAATACAATAAATTTTGTTTTTTATTGGTTGGCAAGGATTGTAACTTGCGATCGCAAGTTACCAACGCAGCAGGAGGAGTTGTAACCTTCTTGCTTAAGGAATACTAGAAGGAACAAATATTAAATTATTTTACTACTTACTAGTAACAATTAAAAAAAAAATAAAGCAAGAAGCTAGTAAGGTAGAAAATAAATAAATAAAAGGTTTGTTATTGCTTGCCTTTTTTTTTTATTACCAACCAAAGGTCTGCTGCGCTGTAGCTTGCTAAACAGCTAAGCCTTTGGTATAAATTGAAAGTAGGTAAGTAATAGAACGAACAAAATAATTGCTTTATTTTTTAATTTTACCCAAGCAAGCAGCTGCAGCAGCAGCAATAAAAATATTGCTTTTGCTACTTGCTTACGCTATAAAAAATAAAGTATTTGCACTTGCGATAGCAAGTAATAAAATAAAAATGAGATTATTAAAAAGTCATGTATTACTTAGATTATTTAATTCTTATGTAGTTGATTCTCCTCAACCAGCTAATTTAAGTTATTTATGGAATTTTGGTTCTTTATTAGCAGTATGTTTAATAATACAAATATTAACAGGAGCATTTTTAGCAATGCATTATACGCCAAATGTAGATTTTGCTTTTAATAGTGTAGAACATATAATGAGAGATGTTAATAATGGATGGATAGTAAGATATACTCATGCAAATGTAGCATCTTTCTTTTTTATATTTGTATATATGCATATAGCAAGAGGTATTTATTATGGTTCATATAAATCACCTAGAGTATTAGTTTGGTCAATTGGAACTATAATTTTAATATTAATGATGGCTTTTTTAAATTATGGGCCAAAATGCACAAATACTTAGTAGTTGTAGCTTACGCAACTACAAGTATTAATGTATAGTCCTATTATTTTAATTATGTAATCTATATAGAAAAATAATTATTATATAATAGAATACCCTGACAGGGGTATTGACTTAATTTATCTTAGTAGTTGTAGCTTACGCAACTACAAGTAGCCTAGCTAAGTAAAGGCAAGGGTCAATTAAGTTGGCGATATCAGTGAAAACGGTCAACCAAAAAAATAGATTTTAGAGACCGTCGGTGATATATATCATCGCTACAGACTGGGTCACTGGTGGGTGCCTGAAATGGTGCTTAATGTACAGTCGGAATTTTCGGGAATAATTCCTCACAAGGCCTTAAGTGATATTTATTAGAAAGAGTTTTTATCCTAAACTTGAGGAATAATAGATTGATAAGGTACATGGAGCTAGATTTTCTATTTACCTTTGCCCGCAGGTAATTTTTTTATAAAAAAAAATAACTAAGCAAAGGCAAGGGAAAATAATTTAGCTTTGAAAATTTGATAGCTTTTTTAGGATATGTATTACCATATGGACAAATGTCATTATGGGGTGCAACAGTTATTACTAATTTATTATCAGCAATACCTGTATTTGGTCAAGATTTAGTTGAATTAATATGGGGTGGATTTTCTGTATCAAATGCTACATTAAATAGATTCTTTTCTTTACATTATTTATTACCATTTTTATTAGCTGCATTAGCTTTAGGTCATTTAATAGCATTACATGTACATGGATCAAATAATCCAAATGGAGTTACTTCAAGTGGAGATAGATATGCAATGCATCCTTACTTTATATTTAAAGATTTAGTAACTATTTTTGCATTCTTTTTAATCTTATCTATTATAGTTTTCTTCTATCCTAATTTATTAGGACATTCTGATAATTATATTCCAGCTGATCCTATGGTTACTCCTGCTTCTATTGTACCTGAATGGTATTTATTACCATTTTATGCTATATTAAGAAGTATTCCTAATAAATTATTAGGAGTAATAGCTATGTTCGGGTCATTATTAATATTATTAATATTACCTATTGCTGATTTATCTAGAATTAGAGGTTCTCAATTTAGACCTGCTATGAAATTAGCTTTCTGGTTCTTCGTTGTTGATTTTATAATTTTAATGTGGATAGGTTCTCAACACCCTAATTCTCCTTATGTTGAAATTGGACAAATCTCTACAGCATTCTATTTTGCATGGTTCTTAATTATTGTACCTGCAATTGGTATAGTAGAAAATACTTTAATGGATATTGCTACTGAATCTTAATAAATAACAACCACCCAGATTGCCAATTAACCCCCCTAGTTTTATTTTTAATTGCTAATGCAAGGGGTTAATTAGTTATAACTGTGGAAAACTAATGAAATAATAACTAGCTAGACTTATCTATATAAGTATAAATAAAAAATTTAAATAATTGCTTTATTTTTCAGCATTGGCAGCTGGTAGCTTACGCAAGAATTGTTGTTGTTATTCCTGCGCTGGCGATAGTAATTAATGCAATTGCTACGCAAGTAAATATTTTTCCTTAAATTATTGCTAGCAAATTTTTAATAATAAGCAAAACTACAAGAGGGAGTATTCTAATTGGTTAAGGAGCTTACTTTGGGAGTAAGAAGTTGCACGTTCGAGTCGTGTCTCCCTCATCCTAATTCTAGTAATTGCTTGAATAAAAAAAAATAAGCATTGCAACTGCTAGCAATAAAAAAATAAAGGGTTACTAATGCAAAAGAGTCGTAACCAAAGGTTACAACTACTTGCGTAAGCTACTACTAGCAAGAGGGAGTAAATTAATTAAAGGTCTTATGGCTGAGTGGTTTAAGCGAAGTACTGTTAATACTTTTTACAGGGGTTCAATTCCTCTTAAGGCCTTATTAAAAAAATTAGTTATAACCAAAGGTTACAACTCCTGCTGCGCTGGCGTAAGCTACTACTAGCGTAAGCTACAACTAGCACAAGTAATTGCGAAATGGTGTAAATGGTTAACACGATAGCCTCATGAGCTTTAACTTTAGGTTCAATTCCTAATTTCGCACAATTCTCTCCTGCCCTGCCAGGTATTAGTAATAATTGTAGTTGCGTAAGCTACTACTTGCGTAAGCTACTTGCATTGGCAAAAGCAATAAAAAAATAATTAAAGGTCCTTTAGTATAGTGGTTCGTACGACTCCCTTTCAAGGAGTAGGGATCAGTTCAAATCTGATAAGGATCAAATAAATACCATAAATTAGTATTTTATTAAGCCTCGGTTGCTTAGTGGTCAAAGCGCTATTCTGAAGATATAGAGATGGGAGTTCAATTCTCTCCCGGGGCATTAATTTTTTTTAATTAGTTATTATTCAGTTACTCCTGGTTAGATAGCTAGTAACTGGCTAACAATGGTTATAATAAATATAATAATTAAAGCCGATATAGTTTAATTGGTAAAACGGATTCCTTGTAAGATTTTGATATTGGTTCAACTCCAGTTTTCGGCAAATAAAAAATTAAAGCAATTACTTGCTTAAGCAAGTAGTAGTAACTAACTATCGCCAGCGCATTGCTTCTGCAATTGCTACCGCAAGGAGTAACTACTTAAAAAAAAAGAGTTGCGGTAGCAAGCTTATGCAATAATATAAAATAATTTGAGTTGTAGTTTAATTTGGGAAAACACCATTTTTTGGTAATGGCTTATATCAGTTCGAGTCTGGTCAACTCAGTTGTTACTTATTGTAACGTTAGCAATTACTTACGAAAGCTATTGCATAAGCAATTGTTTTTTTATTTTTTTTTTTAATTGCTAATGCAAGGATTGTAACCTTTTGTTAGTTGTAGTTGCGTAAGCTACTACAAAAATAAAGCAATTGCTTCTGCTAGAGAGTTGCTTCGCTACTGCTACATCAAGAGAGGGAAAAATTAATACTCCTGCTGCTGCGCTGGCAATTAAAAATAAGTTGTTTTTTGGCTTACCAAAGGAAAGGTTACAACAACAAGTAGGAGGGTTTGGTTTGGAGAGATAAATATAAGGAAAAAGACTTTAGCATAATGGTTAATGCAGTTCGCTCATAATGGATATTATAAGGGTTCAACTCCCTTAGGTCTTAATTTATATTCTGCTGTCACTCTCACTCCTTCTGTTACCAGCACAGGTGAATATGCAAGGAATAATCGTCATTGGTAAGATAACACGATTGCTAATCGTTTGGGTAATACCCTTGGGCGTTCGACTCGCCTTTATTCCGTTTTTCAGAAACTCCTGGTTAGATAGTTGCTAATGCAATAACAGTTAAATTTTAATTGCTTATGCAAAACAACAACTGGTTTTATACTAGCGTAGCAATTTTATATTAGTTGTAACAACTGAAAAGCTAAAAATACTGCTACGCTGCTGTTAATATAAGTATAAATATTAATTTGCATATTTAAGAAACCTCAGCATTTGTAGCTTACCGCAAGTAATGGAAAAAGTTATTAGCAGCTTACTTGCATAAGCAACTGTAATTAAAAAAAAAATTATTGCTTATTTTTTTAACCAAAGATTCCTCCTACTAGGGAAAAATAGGGCAGGTGATCCGATTGGTAATGGTGATTCTCTGTAAAAGAATTGGTTAACGCCAAAAAAGGTTCGATTCCTTTACTGCTCATAATACTAGCCAGTAACTCCTGCTTGCATAAGCAATGCGCTGGCGATAATTGCTAATGCAATAACAGTTATTTTTAATTATTACTAATCACTTGAGGTAAGCTACAGCTATAAGCAACTGTGACTGTCACTGCTGTTATAATATTTATCTAATAAATATTTGCTACAGCGCAGCAGACCTTTGGTTAATAAGCAATTAATTTTCAGCATTGGCAGCAGGTCTGCTGTGCTGGTAAGTTAAAAAATAAAGCAATTGCTTCTATTGCCAATGCAATTGCTACGCAAGAAAAAAGAATTAACAACTAACGTAAGCTACCAGAAGAAATAAGGGGAAATCTGATAATGGTTAATCGGTTATATTTGCAATATAATTATGATAGTTCGAATCTATCTTTCTCCAAAAAATTTTTTTTTTAATTGCATAAGCAAGTAGTTGTATCGCCAATGCAACTACAATTGCTTCTTTTTAATTATGCAAGATAAACAGAAAGAGCGTAGTATAATGGTAGTATAGCGGTCTCCAAAACTGTTTGTAGGTGTTCGATTCGCCTCGCTCTTGTAAATATTTTTTTTTTCCTTGTATTGCATAAGCTACTTGCATTGGCAATACAAATAAGAATAAAGTGATTTAATTGCTTTAAAATAAATATTATAGTTAATATTATTAAAAGAGTTACTTAGGCTAGCATAATAATTTATTCTTAGTATTATATTTACTAGAAATAACGAACATGTTGAAATTGGTAAACAATCTTCTCTTAAGCAGAAGTGGGAGTAATCCCTTAAGAGTTCAAGTCTCTTTGTTCGTAATTTGTTTCAAAGATAGTGTACCCCCTAGTAACTTGCTATCGCTAGTTACAATTTTTTTTTTTCTTGCGTAGCAATTGCATTTGCAATCCTCCTTTTTAAATAATTGTTGCCTTTGATTATAGTTACTCCTGCTGCTGCGCTGGCGATTGCAAGTTACTACTATTTGCTTATGTAATAGCAAGGATTGTTATAAAAAATTAAGGGAAAATTTTCTCTAGCGAAGCAACTCTATTGCCAATGCAAGTAGCTTACGCTACTACAACTCTAGTTGCTGTTAATATAAGTAACTGCGCTAAATCACTACTTGCTTATGCTATACAATTGTTTTGTAACCTTTTCAGTAACTCCTGCTTGCATTAGCAATGCGCTGGTAATTGTTGCTAATGCAATAACAGTTATTTTTAATTGCTTATGTAAGAAAGGTAATTAATTAATAAGAGCGTTACAGCAGATAAATTATTAGGAAGCAGAACTCGAGTGGTTGAGTGTCTCACTTTTAATGAGAAAGTTTCTGGTTCGAATCCAGGTGTTTCCATGAAAATACTTGCATTGGCAATACGCTGCTGTTGCTTAATTATTTTTTTTTTTTTTTGCAATACTCCTCTCCTTGCGGTAGCAATTGCATAAGCAATGCGCTGGCGTTGCCAATGCAAGAAATTAATGCAATCAAAAAAATTAGTTGCTTATGCAAGTAACTTGCTAGTAATCAAAGGTTACAATCCTTTTCCAATTAAGCTGAAATAGTTTAAATGGTTAAAACATACCATTCATAGCGGTAAAAAAAAGGTTCGATTCCTTTTTTCGGCTCAATTAATATAATTAAGATATCTAAAACTGGTATTTTTCTCTTGCATAAGCAATCCTTGCGGTAGCAATAGCATAAGTAACTAAACTACTAGTGTTGCCAATGCAAGTAATACCTGGAAAAATGTTGAAAAGTCCACTGGAAATAAAATAATTGTAATATATAATATAACTTGCTTAAGCAAGTGGAAAATTAATTATAGAAAATATTCAAGTATTGCTTATTTTAAAGCAAATAATTGATAAGAAAGTAACTCCTATATTATATCCTATGATAAATTCTATTAATCAGTTGTATTGTTTTACTTACCAAAGGTCTGCTACGCTGTAGCAATTTGATTAAATAAAGCAAAATAACAATCCCTCTTGCTTAATTTATAATAGCAATAGATGAGTTGTATTGCCAATGCAAGTAGCTTATGCTACTACAACTAGAGAAGAGAGAGGAGAGAACATAAGTGTGCTTATAGATATACTTAATAATTAGTTAAAGGGATAGTTGATATCCCCTCCTAAGGGTTGCATATGCAAGGGAGAGATAAACACTAGCGAAGCAACTATATTTTATTTAAAAAAATAAAAAAAAAACTATTGCATAAGCAAGTAGTAGTTTAGCAAGTAGTAGTTAATAATAAAAATAAAAGGGTTTCAATATATTAATCCTTGCATTGGCAATATGCAATTTAAAACTAGTTGTTTTGCTAACCAAAGGTTAAAATCCTAATTAGTAACTAGCAGCAGCTACTAATATATTTCACCTAATAAATATAAGTATATATTACTTAACTTAATAATCAACTGCTACTTAGCTTTTGGAAAAAAAAGTATTTATGACTGCGATCAAGTATAATTAATTAACATTATAAAATTTTAAATTGCTAATGCAAAATCAATTGTATTGGCAATACAAGTATTATGTATTGCTTACGCAAGTAAGTAAGTCTTGATGATAATTTTATTTAATTTACAAATAATTAGTTGCATCTTCAACTCCTTACTTGCATATGCAAGGTTTTAACTAATATCTGTTGCCAATGCAACTAGAGGAGAGGAGTTAAAGTTAGCAACAAATCAATTGCTTATGCAAGAAAATACAATTGCGCTAGGCAGCGCAAGGCAAGATAATTATTTATAGAGAGAAAATGACAAATAATATAGCAAAATTCCAACATTTTCCTTTTCATTTAGTAGATCCTTCTCCTTGGCCTATTTTAACTGCTTTTTCTTTATTAAATTTAACAATAGGTGGAGTTTTATATATGCATGGATATAGTTATGGAGGATATGTTTTAAGTCTAGGATTCATATTAACAGTTTATTCTATGACATTATGGTTTAAAGATGTTGTAATAGAAGCAACATATTTAGGACACCATACAAAAGAAGTAAAAAATGGAATAATGATAGGATTAATTTTATTCATTGTAAGTGAAGCATTTGCTTTCTTATCTGTTTTCTGGGCTTTCTTCCATTCTAGTTTATCTCCTGCTATTGAAATAGGAGGTGTTTGGCCTCCAATAGGTATTACACCTTTAGATCCTTTTGCAATACCTTTATTAAATACTTTCTTATTATTATCAAGTGGAGCATTTATTACTTATGGTCATCATGCTTTAATTGCTGGTAATAGAAAAGGAGCAATAGATGGAGTATTAATATCTATAATATTAGCTTTAATCTTTACTGCTTTACAATATTATGAATATTCTGTTGCTGGATTTACTATAGCAGATGGTGTATATGGATCAGCTTTTTATGCTTCAACTGGTTTACATGGTTTCCATGTTATAATTGGAACTATATTTATAGCAGTAGCTTTTATAAGAATAATTAACTATCAATTAACAAATAAACACCACAATGGATTTGAATCAAGTATTCTTTACTGGCACTTTGTTGATGTTGTTTGGTTATTCTTATTTGTAGCTGTTTATTTCTGGGGAAATACTTAATTATAGCTTTTAATTATTTTTATTACCAGCGTAGCATACATTACCTTACACTACCCCCCCCTAATATCTTATGCTAGTAATTGTAATTGTTGCGAAGCTACAAACAACTGAAAAGTTACTTGCAAATGCTTATTAAGTAAATTAAGTGATAGTATAAACCCTATAAGCCCAAAAGCATGCAACAGTTATTTATAATAAATATTATTGTTTAAAAATTATTTACTTGCGTAGCAATTGCTATACAAGCGTATACAAGCGTATACAAGCGTATACAAGCGTATTACTTACTTACTTTTTTCTCTTATTCATACCATTAATTGCTACGCTAGAGTTGTAGTTTACGCAACTAGTAAGAGAAAAAATTAAAGAAAGCAATTGTTACTTATTATTACCAGCACAGCAGCAGGAGTAATAAGTGGTAAGAAAATGCTGAAAATTTTAAAGCTATTGCTTGCTATGATTCCAAAAATTTTTTCCTTGCGGTAGCAATTGCATATGCAATAGTTGTAACCTTTGGTAACTACTTGCTTATGCAATAGCAAAAAAAAATTAGCAACTAAGGAAAAGTAGATTAAAAAAAATAAAGCGTATGCAGTAATTGCTATCGTTAAAAAAAATTTTTTTTTTCTCCCTTGCGAAGCTAGTGAAGCTAGTGAAGCAAGTAAGGAGAATAGATAAATTCACAAAGCCACAAGAAAATGATAACATCCTTAATATTAATTCCTATAATTGGTTCATTAATTTTATTACCTATGGATAATACCCTAAAAAGTGAAAATGAGATGAAAAAAATAGCATTGATAACTTCTTTAATTAATTTTTTCATTTCTTTATTTATTTGGTATAATTTTGATTCAAATACAACACAATATCAATTTGTATCAGAATTTAATAGTCCTTATTTACAATTTTGTCATTTAAATTTTGGAATAGATGGAATATCATTATATTTTGTATTATTAACGACATTTATAAGTCCAATTGCGATATTATCAAATTATAATTTAAGTTTTATAACAAATGATGGTGAAAAAACAACAACTGGGAATAAATTAAAATTATTTTTAATCTCTTTCTTAATCTTAGAAAGTTTACAAATATGTGCTTTTGTATCATTAGATTTATTATTATTTTATATTTTTTTTGAAAGTGTTTTACCTATTTTATTTGTTATTATAATTATTTTTGGACATGGATTTGATAGATTTAGATCTGCTTTTTTATTATTTTTATATACTTTAGCAGGAAGTTTACCTATGTTATTAAGTATATTAATGATTTATAGTTATATAGGATCTACAGATTTTCAATTAATATCTCTTCCAGAATATGAAATTAGTTTATCAAGTCAAAAATTATTATGGTTAGGATTTTTTATAGCTTTTGCAGTTAAAACTCCTTTATATCCATTTATTATTTGGTTACCTAAAGCTCATAGTGATTCACCTTTAGCAGGATCTATATTATTAGCAGCAACAATATTAAAATTAGCAACATATGGTTATTTAAGAGTTTTAATACAAATATTACCAGATGCAACTCATTATTTTAGTCCTTTAGTACAAAGTATTGCTATTATATCTTTAATTTATGCTAGTTTCTCTACTATTATTCAACAAGATACTAAAAGATTAATTGCATATAGTAGTGTATGTCATATGGCTGTAGTAGTTTTAGGTTTATTTTCTAATACAATACAAGGAATTGAAGGTGCTATTTTATTAGCTATTGCTCATGGATTTGTAAGTCCAGCTTTATTTATATGTGTAGGTGGTATTATTTATGAAAGAACAGGTACAAGAGTTATTAAATACATAAGAGGTTTAGTAACTTATATGCCTGTATTTACTATTTTATTCTTTATTTTTACATTAGCTAATACAGGGATACCTTTATCATTAAATTTCTTAGGGGAACAACTTTCATTATTAGGAATTTGGCAAGTTAATCCTATTATAGCAGCTTTAGGTGCTACAGGTATAATATTCTCTGCAATATATTCAATATTCCTTTATAATAGATTATCTTATGGAAATTACTCTCCTCATATGGTAAAAATAGTTAAAGATATTAATAGAAGAGAATATTATTTATTAATAGCTTTATTAATACCAACAGTATTATTAGGTATTATACCTAATGTAATATTAGATTGTTTACACTTATCAGTTTCATCATTATTATATATAATATCTTAAACCCCCCCCCCCCTAGCTAATGCAATTAGATAATTGTAGCTTACCGCAAGTAGTTGTAACCTTTTCAATGACTCATGGTTGCATATGCAATTACAATTTATTAATTATTAGAGATAAAACCTATTTATGCTAGATATAGTAAATCGGAAATAATAAAGATTAGGTGGATATTATTTCTCCCCTTATTTCTAGTCTAGTCAAAAAGTAAATTTATATCTAGCGAAGCAACTATTATACAATAAATTTTTAGCTTATTATGATTATGAATTAAAAAAAAAAATTATTTATATTTATTTATTTTTATTTATTTTTATTTATTTTTATTTATTTTTATTTATTTTTATTTATATTTATTTATATTTATTTATATTTATTTATTTTTATTTATTTTTATTTATTTTTATTTATTTATTTTTATTTATTTTTATTTATTTATTTTTATTGAAAGCTAGGGGGGTTGAGCAGCAAATGAATTTAAGATTGTATAGGTAACATTTTAAATGCATGGAATGGGATAGGGCTAGCTAATGTCCATTCAATTGTATTTACACCTTTTTCATTATTTTTAAATTCATTTAAGCTTGTAAAGTAAGGAACTACAGCCCAAGGATTATTTGAAGAATTTGGTTGGTTAGCGAATATATCATAAATAATATATCCGAATAATACAGTAGCTACTACTGATATTAATGAACCGAAACTAGATATAGCATTCCATCCACTAAATGCATCAGGATAATCTGGTATTCTTCTAGGCATTCCAGCTAATCCTAAGAAGTGTTGAGGGAAGAAAGTTAAATTAACTCCAATAAATAAAGTCCAGAAATGGATTTTACCTAGTAAATCATTAAATGTTCTTCCTACTATTTTTGGTGTCCAATAATAAAATCCTGCAAATAATGCAAATACAGCACCCATAGATAACACATAATGGAAGTGAGCAACTACATAGTAAGTATCATGGAAAGCAACATCTAATGATGCATTAGATAATACTACTCCAGTTAATCCACCTACTGTGAATAAAGCTAAGAATCCTAATACAAATAATAAAGGAGTACTAAATCTTAAACTACCTCCATATAATGTAGCTAACCAAGAAAAGATTTTAATACCTGTAGGTACAGCAATTACCATTGTAGCTGCAGTAAAATAAGCTCTAGTATCTACATCTAATCCCACTGCAAACATATGATGAGACCAAACTAAGAAACCTAAAATACCAATAGAGAACATAGCATATACCATACCAATATAACCAAATACTGGTTTACCTGAAAATGTTGATACTATATGACTTACTATTCCAAATCCAGGTATAATTAAAATATATACCTCAGGATGACCAAAGAACCAGAATAAATGTTGATATAATATTGGATCTCCTCCTCCAGCTGGATCATAGAAACTAGTATTAAAGTTTCTATCAGTTAATAACATAGTAATAGCTCCAGCTAATACAGGTAATGATAATAATAATAATATAGCTGTAATAAATATAGCCCATACAAATAAAGGTAATTTATGTAATGACATTCCATTTGTTCTCATATTTAATGTTGTACTTATGAAATTTATAGCTCCTAATAATGAAGATACTCCAGCTAAATGTAAACTAAAAATAGCTAAATCTACAGCTCCTCCTGAATGTGATTGTATTCCAGCTAATGGTGGATATACTGTCCATCCTGTACCTGCACCATTTTCAACTAATGAACTTAATAATAATAAGATTAAAGAAGGTGGCAATAACCAAAATGAAATATTATTTAATCTTGGAAAAGCCATATCTGGACTTCCACAGTGTATTGGTAAAAAATAATTTCCAAATCCACCTACTAAACCTGGCATTACCATAAAGAAAATCATTACAAAAGCATGAGCTGAAACAATTACATTAAATAATTGATGATCCCCTTGTAAAAATTGTACTCCTGGACTTGATAATTCTAATCTAATTAAAACTGAAAAAGCAGTCCCTATCATACCTGAAAATACTGAAAATATTAAATATAAAGTACCAATTTCTTTAGCATTCGTAGAATTTATCCAATTCATTTCTAAAAAATTATTTTTTTATTTGTTACTTTTCTGTTGCGCTGACCTTGTTATTTAGTTATAAAGTTTTTTTAATTAAAAACTTAACTTAATATTCTTATTCTATTCAAGTAGCAATAGCAACAAAAAGAACCCAAAACAAATTAAATTTATTTTATTTGTTTTTAATCTTTTTCTCTCTTATCTTTTCCGAATTTAAGTCACTTTTTATTTTAATTGTCATACTTTTATTTGTATTAGCAACTTAACTAACTAGCTGCTATTATTAATAATTTAAAAAAAAAAACAAATAACTTTTTTTTTAATTATTAATATAAAAGTAGACTTATTGTGATAGTAAGAATTGATGATAGCCTTATGAACTTCTTATATAGTCATATAAGATTATAAGTACTTGCAAAATAAAGCAATGTGCTGGAAAATGATTAAGAACTGCATATGCATGTAGCTACCATAACGTATAATTTATAGAACATGAAAAATACAATTAAAAACCATATTAGGTCATTAGCAAATTATTTTACTAGCTGCCAATGCTGAAAATTAACAATAGATAATAATATTTTAATGCTTTCAAGTAATAGAATTGCCATTTATATCTTTTATCTAGGTATAATGTATTTTATCTTTATCTTGCAAGCAAAGCCAGTATTAATATAACTGATTTTATATATTATTTATTAATAATTATAATAGTTTTATTCAGCGAATATTATATAATTAAGGATTCAGACAGTTTTTTTATTGGAATTTTGAAAAGATATCTCTTTTATTTCACTATAATATTGATTATAGGAATAATTGGTTATCTTATTAATTTTACTTTCTTGGATAATGTAATTCATTGTGATTCGACTGGTAATGAAGATTTGTCTATAATTAAAAGCAAAGATATAATTACTCAATCTACACAACCTACGCCACCAAATCCCCAAAATGCTAAAAATGAAAGTATTGCCAATGCAAGTAATAAATTATTGAAAATTGGTTCGGAACTAATTGAAAATAACAAGAATGAAATAAAGGAGTATGTCTCTAGAGCAGGGGCTAATGCTGGTGTGGCGACTGCTTCAGGGTATGTGGCTAAAGCTATAATGGCTAATATTAAGGGTATGCCGCTTTCAAGTAGAGTTATTGCAACAACTGCAGGAAGTAGTGTAGCATTTCTTGGTGGACAATTAGGGCTTACTCTTTCGCAAGAAATAAGAAAAGGTGCTCAAAGACACCACGAAGCAATGAATAAACTTCATAATGAAAATATAACTAAACATGATAAATCTAGTGGAAGTGGGGACGATATGACAGCTTTATCACCATTAGAACAAGGTGAATTGTCTGATAATCCATTATTAAATATAATAGATTTGTTAATAGTGTCTGGTTGGTTGGATTTATTTTTAATAATTATAATAATGTACTTTGCATTTAACCTATTATTTAAAAAAAAAATAGCAAGCAAAATAAAATCTTACCCTAGCTTAGCAAAATATGAAAAATTAAACAAAATAATTAATTTTTTATTTGTTAATAGTGAAAGAATTGATTTAATTATAATGCTATTTTTTTTAATTCTTTTTTTATTAATTAAAATAATGGATATATATCTATTAGTCATGGTTAAAGATCACCTAGATGAACTTATTTGGGTGTATAACGATATTAATAAAAAATAGTTATTTTACCAGGCGAAGGTACTAACAAATAGTTAATCTTTTATTTAGCTTCATTACCCCCCCCCCTATATTTTCTTCTTCTTCTTCTTCTTGCTATTGCATAAGTAAGAAGTAGCGTAAGCAACTACAACAACTACAAGTATTTATCTCCAGTATTTGTGTCTTGTTTTGTATTTTTATAGTTGAGAAATCATCATCCATTCCTAATAGTAGTATATATGCATAACTAATCTTTGATTAGGCATGATTATATAAATTTATGCAATTTTGTCTAAACAAAATTGTTTATTTAAGTCAATTTATTGCTTAATCCGCTAGTATTTAGACTTATTTTTACATAAATTTATTCTTTAACTTAAATAAATACTTGTTTATGTTTATTATTTATAAAAAGAACATGTAAATATTCCCTAATATAAGAAGGGGGGTTGAGTAGGTCAGATAAATTATAAATATTTACCATTACTTCCAACACAAATATCATTTTCATAGATTAAATCTCTCTTATTATCAGTCTGTTTTATTTCATACACGGAATCTAGGATACTTATTTTTCCTTCTAAATAGCTTTTAAACCATTTTTCCTGACTTAGTACCATTCTTCCATCCTTATTCAGTAATTTTTTAAAACTTTCAAAGTTTAATATACCCATTTCTTTAGTCTTTAAAATGGCTTCTTTTTTAACACCTTTAATTTTTATTACCTCCTCACCATTTTCTAACACTAAATAATAACATTTAGGTGCTAAAAAAGCAGCTTTCTCTATTACATATTCTAACTTTAACTTACCTAATTCTTTATTATCAACAATACCATTCATAACTTTATTTAACTCTGAGGGGGATAAATTTATAAAGAAAGAATCGGTATCTGTATAAAAAATAGTTATATCATCTATATTTTTAAGAACTGACATAAATTTCCTTGATTCAGCAGTGATTGAAGCTGCTAAAGCGATACAAGTATTATGAACCTTAACATTTACATCTATGTTTTTATAATTATCAGTATGTTTATAACTAACTAAAAATAATTCTTCACCATTTTCCAATGTAAAGGGTATTTCATCGTATATATCAATTTTATTCTTTTTATTAGATGCGTCATAATTTAAACTTAGATTTTGATTTGAATTAAGTATTTTTATAGTTGAGAAATCATCATCCATTCCTAATCTACCATATAATGAATTCATTATTAATTTAGTGATAAGATTCATAGGATGTGATTTCTCATATGATTTTCTTAGATTATATAGGGTATCAACAAAATCTCTGAATATATATTCTTGCTTAGAGAAAATATATCCCCACTCAATCTTAAATTTATATCCATATTTTATTGCGTTATCGATTTCACTACTATAGAACATACCTTCAAAATTTCCTAAAGGTGAAATAGTTCTCTTATCATGATGAATTTGAATAATAGGATGTTTTAACCATTTAGGAGCTGTTACTTTACAATGGAAGAAACCAACTGCTTTAGGTTTTAATTTCCTAATATCCCCTTCAAAATAAGTGATAGCCCCACATGGTAATTTAACATCTCTCATTATTGCTGGATAAAGTGAATTTACATCATATCCAAAAATATTATTAGATTTACATTCAGTAAGTGTAGGTATAAATCCTTCTACTGATTTCATAAAATTAATTCTATCTTTATTAAACTTTAAGAAAGCATCTTTATATTTTTTATTATAGAATAAAGGAACAAACATATCTGTAGATCCACCTGTATATGCTTTCTTAATATGTCTATACATATCTCCACCTATCATTGGAATTAATTTTTTCTTATTAAATTTAACTCTAAATACAGCAAAGGCTATAGATGAAATTGTAGGATATAATAGTATATTCACCTTAAAATGCTCATATACTAGTTTCTTAAATTTCTTTATTACATCATATAAAGCTATACAATCTTGTTTACAATATATAGTTGCTTCATCTTTATATTTAATTAGGGTATCCTTATTTACTTTATTGAAATCAAAGTAATATTTTTGTTGATCCTCCCCATTAAAAAATTGAGCTAATTTTCTTAAGGATAAAGGTAATACTTGATATGAATCATAAAATGTTAATGAAATTGTTGCTCTTCTAGTATTTCCTTCCTCATCCTCATAATAAATTTTCTTTTTAATTTTAATAAAGATCAATCTACCATTATTAAATACTGTATCCATATTATTATCTATTTCTAAATTTAATTCAGCTAGAGCTTTTAATATAAATACAGCATCAAAATTAGCTAAATTATGAAAATAAACATATAAGTTTCTTCCCTTTCCTCTTCCAAAATTTCTTTCTGCTATATCAAATAAATCATTAAATGCATGTTTAAACATTTGAATAGGAGATTTAAATTCAGTTAAATAATATGAATAATTAGCTAATTCTAATCTAAATGCTATTAAATAAGGTATTAAGGTATTATTAGAATCGCCACTATTATAAGTTTCAATATCACCTGTTGCAAAGTTATCTATTTCGTTATCTTCTTTCTGAACATCTATAGTTTTATAGTTCATTTTAGCTTGTGTCATTGCAATAAACGTTCCGTTATTTTCATAGTGATATAATCTACTTCCTATAGATCTTACGAATTGTCCATTTTCACTTTTTGATGAATCTATGAACTCTAACACTTCTTGACCTTTTCTTAACATTTTAACTGAATTTGTTCTTTCTCCAAATGAATCTGTATTAGTTTTAACAATAAAAATATTATTAGTATCATTTTGTATAAATGTAGTAATTGTACCATCATCATTTTCATTTATAGCAAATATGTTTCCAAATTTATTTAAACTATCAAATGGATGCACAATAGGTATTTTATAGTGACTATAATTTTGATGAATTATTTTATTTTCATCATCTATGAAATTATCATAATCTACATCTATTTTACCATCAAATACACAATAACTAAATATTATTTCATCTATGTAAGTATCATTGTATCCTGATATTTTAATTGATAACTGATTATCTAAGTAATTAAATAATATTTTTTTATCTTTATCTGATAGATTTATATATTTCTTCTTACCTAGTGTTTTAATTAATCCTGTTGATGTAACTATCCTTGTTAATATTCCTATATAAAATATTTTTTCTCCATAGGGACATATTAGGCTCCCAACTCTATTATTCCAGAAGTTATCTATTGCTATTCTTAATAATTTACTATTTAATGTTGAGGATTCCTTTAAATAGAAAGTATAGTGATTATATTTGTAGATAATTTTATTCAATTATTTAAAAGCATGGAAAAGTTAAAGGAATGTATAAACAAACTAAATAATATGACTAAAGAATCAATAACATTTATTGGGGAATTCTATGATAAGTATTTAGAATTTTTAAGTGAATTAGGCCCAGATAAAATAGTATGTGTTTTTAATATAGTAACAGGAAGTATTACTTTATCATCCTTTTTAACTGTATTATCTATCATGTTGAGTGAAAATATTATTAATAAAATTGAATTTTTGAATAATTATCCAAGAATTCTAAAATTACTTAAATTAAGAAATAGTATTAATAAAAAATTCATTAAATTTCACTTAACTATGCACTTCTTATTTATATCTGCAACAATATTAGGGAATATTTACATGTTTTTTTTATAAATAATAAACATAAACAAGTATTTATTTAAGTTATTATCCCCCCCCCCCTCTCTAGCGAAGCAACTCTTTTTTAATTCTAATCTAATCTAATCTTTTAATACATAATTAAATTATTTTTTATATTTTTATAGTCAATGCTACGTATCATTAATTGTAATTGTAATTGTAATTGTAATTGTTGTAGTTGCGTAAGCTACAACTACTATTATCAAAACTTATCTTTTGATAATAAGGTCTGGTCTAGAGATGAGTTGGGTTAGCTACTTGCATTGTCAATACTTGCATTGGCAATAGAGTTGCTTCGCTAGAGAGAGAATTAATTTATGATGAAGGAATTTGTATAGGAAGTTATGCTAAATACTTATTAATTAATTAGCAGATAAAATTAATTAATTAAATAAAAGAAGAATTATTGTGATAGTAAGAATTGAATAATAGCCTCTTGAGAGTGAGAGTATAATTCTTTACTTTACTTTACTTTACTTTACTTTACTTTACTTTACTTTACTTTACTTGCCTTGCTATGAAAGAAAGGCAAAAGAATTAGAATTATATAATCTTTTTTTTTGCTAAATAATTTAATTATGAGTGAATCGATAGGGGAACTATATTTAAAAAAAAAAAATATATACAAATGGCATTAAAAACTATTTTATTGCAATTATTGCAATATAATCTAATATTTTATTTTAAATTAGCATTTATTTTTTTTTTATTTTTAGTTTTTGTTTGAATTTTAATTAATGATAAATTTGATAGGGATTCAGATCATATGAAATCAGGTCTTGATTTTAAAAAATTTAAGGATATAACTTTACTTATCATCAGTACTTATAATTTAAAGTTATTAATAGATGGAAAGAAAACTAATGACAGTCAATATGAATTGAATAGATCTCAAAATACTGTTGAGAAACTAACTAGTATATCTGACCTATTAAGTGCTGAAATTAAAAAAAAAAAAGATATTAATAAAGGATTAAATGATTCTTATAATCAACAAGTTTCAGATTTATATGGGAGTTTGAAAGACCTATCTTTAAAAGTTCAAATAGCTAAAATTAAAGAATTGCATATGCAAGAAAAATTCAAGAATTTAAAATTTTTAGTTGAATCTGGTAAATTTGAAACTCTAGGAAATATTATCAAAGAAAAAGAAAATGATAATAAGGAGTTTGATGAAATAAATAGTCAGCTTACTAAAGTTATTACAAATTTACAATCATTTGACAAGACTCACCAATCAGACCTAATGAAAGCAATTAATAACCCAGAAATACTTCAAAAATTAAGAGAGTCCAAAGAATTAGAAGATTTTAAAAAGAGATTAGTTGAATCTAATCTATTAGAGTCAGAGTTAGAGGATAATATTAATAAATCTAGTATATTAGATGTAGACTGGTTTAAAGGTTTAAACGTATTACAACAAATAGGATTAAGCTTCTTAATATTTAAGGGTATTATATTATCATGTTTAACTTCTATAATATTTATTTTTTTTGGTGATTATTTACTTAATAAATATGATATTGAAGTTAGATTTCCTAAATTAGCTAAAATAATTAAGCTGAGAAGAAAGTTCTCTAATTATTATTTAATTTATAATGTAGGAATTATCGCTTTAATTGCAATTATTGAATCAATATTCATTATAAGCTATATGGATGTAGATATATTTAGTATTATTAGTTAGATCAGCATAGCAGATCTATTCTACCCCTTTTTTAAACTTATTTAGTTAAAATAGTTAAATCTTTTTATTTGCTAGCGGTAGTAATGCAAGTAACTATGCTATAGCCCCCCCCCTTTCTACTTGCATTGGCAATACAACTCTCTACTTTTTAAATCAAATTAAATAAAGTTGTAATAGTTGTAGTTGCGTAAGCTACAACTACAACACACTTGCATAAGCAATTAGTATACTAAATTTTTTTTAAAAAAAAAAAAAGAAATATAATTATATCTACAAATTAATTAATAAAAAAAATGAATAAGTAAATTAGTTGCTTCGCCAGCGCAGCAGCAGTAGATATAAATATTAAATGTGAAACCCATTTATATTAATTAACTTAAGAAAAATAATTGTTTATGCAAGTCAATAATAAACATCTAGTTTTTTTATAAATTAGTATTGCTAAACTAAGATACTTTACAGTATAAACATTTGCAACCTATTAGAGAAATAGTCTATTTCTTAATTTTATTAGTATCAAGGGAGTAGATTCTTGCTTTATAGACATTCAGCACTTATCTATTATGTTTGTGGCTACCCAACTATGCATTCATATTTTTAATTAAATATTAGAAACAATTGGTACACTATAGAAACACAGCCTATTGGTCCTTTCGTACTAGAAGGTCTGTCCCCATTTACTAAATTTTCCACCAGAAGATAGGGACCATACTGACTCACGTCGTATTAAACCCAACTCACGTACCCTTTTAATCGGCGAACAGCCGAACCCTTCCAAGCTTCTTCCCCCGGAGGATAGGATGAGTCGACATCGCATAACTCTTAATCTTTCAATTAAGTTTAGACTATATCTTCATCCAGCATAAAGAATACAATTTATGAAGCACTGGATGTTGGCGTGTAGTCGTTGAGGGATTATATAAATTTAAAACAGTCGCTATAACCTATTTTATATAACTTCCCTGCTGATTGTCCAATCTTTAAGATTTTAACTTTCTTTTTAAATTTAAGTACTTAAAGCTCTAAGGAGGTTCCAGCATATAGCCAATTTCTAATAAGATATTACTATCTTAAATCCCCGATATTATAAATTTAAATATATTTAAGGTGCCAAACAGCCGAGACAATGTGTACTCTCGTCGGCTATCAGCCTGTTATCCCTAGCGTAACTTTTATTAATTGATCCCCGTCTATCCCATACTAAAGCGAGGGGTCACTATGCCCTACTTACGTATCTGTTTGACTTTTGAGTCTTTCAGTTAAGCATGCTTATCGCCATTGAACACTGCGCAATCCTTCACTGATTGATTGATTTCCATTCAATTTCTAGCTATACCTTCTGCGAATAAAATAAAAATTTTCTCCTGTTATGAAATTAGTTTTTTATAAAAATTTGGATGTACTTTGCTACTTTTTTAAAGACGACCGCCCCAGTCAAACTGCCAATTAGTCAACTCTCCCTATTATTTTAGGTGAACATAAACCCAACTTAGATTCTAAGGTTTCCACTATTTATCTTTCGATATCCCTATTCACTATTAATTTAAGTTGTTCTAGATTCATATGATAACTAATTACAGTAAAGCTGCATAGGGTCTTCCCGTCCCCCTGGTGGTAACGCGCATCTGCACGCGTAATTCAATTTCACTGAGCAAGTTGTAGAGACAGTGAGACCATCGTTACATTATTGATACTCGACCACATTTAATGGCCAATTGATTTTGCTACCTTAGGATCCTCATAGTTAAGACCGCTATTAACCAGATTTTCGATAAATCACAGTTTAATATCCCATGATTGTTCTTATATTAATGGCATTGGGCAAATTTCACACAGTATACTATCACATTAATGATTGCACTGTGTTGTGTTTTTAGTAAACAGTCGTGGCCTCCGATTCTGTGCCACCTTATTCTTTAAAAAAAATAAGGTACCTCTTATCGTTAAACTTATGAGGTGAATTTGCCGAGTTCCTTAACAACTTTTAGCTCTACGCCTTAGTATACTCTACTTACGAACCTGTGTCGGTTTAGGGTACGGTAGAAATTATATTAATTTCCTGATTATTTAAAATTAATTAAATAATTTTCTATAATATACTCATCAGTTATAGCTATTGCTATTTTCCCTTAGAGACCGCATTCACACTAAGAGGATTAACCTTTCTTATGCAACCCTTTCGTATTCGGCGAATTCCATTTTAGGAATTTTTTACGTTACTCATGTCAGCATTCTCTCTTCAGTTACCTAATAAATAATGAAACACTATTTTTTCAACAGTTAAACTGAATGTTCTACTACCTAAATTAAAACTTACCCCTTGCCTTGCCCAAAGCTAGGCTGCGGGCAAAGGTAAAAATAGTAAGTTTTAATCAACACAATATCGGTTGATTGTTTTAGACCCGTTAAATTTTCGGCGCTACTATCTTTATACTGCTGTTGCGTTGTTACATACGTTCATTATAAGTAGCGACTGCCAGGCTCACTTCACAGCTGTATTTGATATTGCTACGTCCTTAATTTCACTTAACAATCATTAGGGACCTTGATTAGTGTTCTCGGCTGTTTCCGTCTTGACTATTCAACTTAGCATGAATAGTCTGAATATCTACTATCAATTTATGTAATTCCGAGATTCGTTTCCAAAGGTAAGATTTGCTAGATCCCCGCAACCTAAACGCCTATTATTTTAAAATAAATAACAGTTGTTGGGAATTGTCTTGCTGTACCTCCATAAATCTTATCAAATAGACATCATACTTAAATATGTTTCGGTAGAAAACCAGCTAGCACCAGGTTAGATTGGCATTTCACCTCTTACCAAAATTCATCGGAGAATTATGCAACATTCACCCGTTCGATCTATTATAATCTGATCTTGGTAAGATCACCTGGCTTCGGGTCTAATAGAAGTAACTTATCCAGTACTTTTTAAAGTATAGTCGCTTTCGCTTAGGCTTTTAACCTTGCTACTTCTATTAACTTGCTGACCCATTATGCAAAAGGTACGCCGTTATTCTTTAATTTTATAATAAGAATTCCGACTGCTTATAGAATTACTAATTCAAGATCTATTTCACCATATTTTTTAACTAATTGCTTTGCTTGCTAATGCAAAGCAAGCAATAGATAAAAAAAAATGTATACTACATGCTTTTCAAAACTTTTCCTTTACAGTACTTTTTCACTATCGCTAAATTTATAATACTTAGCCTTAGAGGATGGTTCCCCTATATTCCGACAAGTTATCTCTCATCGTATTTTTTTTTAAATAGCTTATGCTAATAATTATTTTGCGCAGCAATTATATTTCATTAGGACTTATAACCTATTTTTAGAACGATAACTTTCTTAAATTATTGCTAATGCAATAAGAAAAATAAGCTATCGCTTTTTAACTTTATTTAAACCAAGTAATAGCTTAAAAAAGTTATTATTAATTTAAAATATTGAAATTGCTGTGCTAGGCTAATCCGATTTCACTCACCATTACTTTCGGAGTCTCGGTTGATTTCCTTTCCTTTCCTTAATAAAATGTTTTACTTCAGGAAGTTTTTATAATTCTTACGGTAACTTAAAATTAACGTAAGTAAGGTTTCCCTTAGGATTGCTTATTAAAGTATTTATAATTAATATAAATATTTTCTTTTTATTTTTACCGCTTAATAATTATTGCAAGAGCAATTCTTGACAAGCTTATTAAGAATTAAAAAGATAAGCTTTTGGTAAATTACCTCCTTTTTTATAAATTTGCCTTAGTTTTCCTTAATAATCCCTTTAAATACTTTTTATTTAAAATAATTAATTTTTGATGTTACCTTTAATAATTGACATCGATACTTTTATATTTTTTTCAATTGCTTCGATAGGCAACAATTATGCATTTTTTGATATTTTTTTCTCCTTGCCCTTGCTTCGCAACAACTACTAGCGGTAGCATCATATTTTCCTTAACCTTAAGAATCAAGTACAATAAAATAAAATAAAAAATAAAAAAATAAAAAAAATAAAAATTTATCTTATCCTTATCCTTATCCTTATCCTTATCTAGCGAAGCAACTCTCCTCCTAACTATTGCATATGCAAGGGGGGTTAATTAATAAATTTAAGTTGCTTGTTACTTTTGGTTACTGCTATTAATAAAATTTTTTAATCCTATAGCCCCAGATCCAATTTCAAGTATAAATCCAATTGTTAAAACTATAAAGAAAATAATTCCAATAGTAAATCCAAATGAAGAAACTTGATAAAGAGTAACAGCTAAAGGGAAAAGAAGAACTAACTCTAAATCAAAAATTAAAAATAATAAAGCAACAATCATAAAATGAATTTGGAAAGTAGATCTTGTTTGATCAGGTAAAGCTAAAAATCCACATTCATAAGCAGAAACTTTAGCTTCATCTGGTCTATGAACAGCTAATAAAATATTAACACCTAATAAAATAAAAGCTAAAATAGGAATAAAAATAATTAAAAAAAATAAATTATTCATTTATAATTTAAATAAAGTAAGTGAAAGTACTTGAGTACTATTTAAGATTAATGTTGGTTTTAATATAAATAATAATATAAATAAACTTAATATAGATATTATTAAACTATGGAATTGACTTAAATTATTTTCTCCTTGCATTGGCAATCCTTGCACTTTATTTGTATTAATAACTTGCATATTCAATCCTTCTTTTTGGCTATGTAATATTTTAATTATTTTTAAATAATAAGTAGCACTTATAACACTTACTATTATTCCTAATAAACTTATAAAATAATAACCAGAATCTAATGCTGAATATAATACAAATTGTTTTGAAAAGAAACCTACAAAAGGTGGAATACCTGCCATAGAGAATAAAGAAAGACTTAAACTTAAACTTAAGAATGGATTAGCATAAAATAATCCTTGTAAATCTGTTATATACTTTACATCTTTTTCTCCTTGCATTGGCAATACTTGTATGTTATTAAAGTAATAATAACTAATAGCTAATAATATTAAGAATATATTTAAATTAGTTATTATGTATTGTATTAAATAAAATAAGAAAGAATCTATTGATTGTTCTGTATTAATAGCTAAAGCTAATAACATAAATCCTATATGTGATATAGTACTATAAGCTAATAATCTTTTTATTTTTATTTGTGCTAAACCAACAACTGTTCCTATTATTAAAGATAATATTGAACTAATTAAAAAGATATTTTTTATTATAGCACCTCCATCAATTTCATTATTTATTGAAATTAGCCAATCTAAATTAATTGCTAGCGGTTGCAATGCAATTATAAAATCAGTTGATAATGGTGAATATATTTCTAATAATAAAATTAATAAAGATATTTTAGGTACTATAGTTAACCAAATTGTTACTATTGTGGGAGTTTCATCATAAACATCTGGTGACCAATTATGTAAAGGTGCAGCTGATATTTTAAATAATAAACCAATTACTATTAAAATTATACCAAATATTGTACCAATTATTACATATTGTATATTTGTTGTTAATATTAACATATATATTGATTCTAAATTTGTTAAACCTGTATTTGAATAGATTAAACCTAATCCTAATAAGATTAAACAAGATGATAAACCACCTAATAAAAAATATTTTAATCCAGCATTAGTAGAAGCTTCAGAATCTTTATATAAAGTAGCTAATATATATAAACCAAAAGATTGTAATTCTAAACTTAAATAAAATGATATTAAATCTAAACTTGATATTAATAATGAAGAACCTAATATACTAAATAATACTATTATTGAATAATCTTTAGCTTTATTTAGATTACCTAAGCTTATACTTTCTATTTGTAAATTATTGTTAGTTTGAGTTGCTTCGCTAGTGAAATTAGGCCATCCAATTAATATTATTGATCCTATTGTAAATAAAAATAATTCTATTGTTTGACTGATATTTGTTATTTGAAATAATCCACTATAAATACCTATTCCGGATCCAATTGACTGAATATAGAGAGTATTTAAACTTAATAATCCTGATATTATTAATATAATAGCAGATATTCTAGTAAAATGTATTGATGATATTTGTTTTTGTATTGAAGGTAGGGCTTTCGCCACTATTAATATTAAAATTGATGTTGACATCATCGAGTTTAAGGGCAGTTTTACTTACCAGTTTATTTTACAAAACAATCAATTCAATTCAATTCAATTCAATTCAATTCAATTCAATTGTTGAAAACATTTTCCTGGCCGTTAATAGCGATAGTTACATATGCAATTACAATTGCTGCTGCGCTGGCGGTTGCAATGCTTTTTTAAATTTATTGCATAAGCAATCCTTGCATTCCACCATTTGCAATAGCAGCATTTTTGATAAGATATGATAAGATAAGATAAGATAAGATAAGATAAGATAACAGTTATTTTATCTAGCGTAGCAACTAATACCTCTCCAATTTAATTCCAATCCCCTAGTTACTTGCAATAGTTGCTAATGCAATAACAACTACTTGCGGTAAGCTAGTTTTTTAATTTAATTAGTTTATAAGTAATAAGTTTTTTTTATTTTAATAGGATAAAAATTACGGGAGATATATTATATGACATATACTTATAAAATTATCCAATCCATATTAATGGCCTGCTAACGCTAGTTTTATAAAAAAAATAAGTGAATGCTACTGTTACTTACTATTGCTAGTAACTGAAGATAAGGTAAGGAGAGGGAGAGATTTAGCGAGCGTGTAAAAGAAGTTTTATTGTGATAGTAAGAGTTAAATTATTGCCCCCTATCTGCTAACGCTCTCCCTCTCTCCTCTCTAGCGAAGCAATAATTGCTTCCTCTCCGCAAGGATTGTAACCTTTGCAAATAAGATAATCCTTGATAAGATCGGTAGAAAGATAAAAAATGCAATTGCTACGCAAGAATGAGAAAAAAAAATTATGGAGATTATGGAGATTATGGAGATTATGGAGATTAGGGGAGAAGGTTTGCAGTAATAATTAAAAAAAATAATATAAAAACTATCAATAATACTTACATAAGTAATAATACAAGACTCCAGTTCCCTATTAATAATATTTCTTATCCTTATCTTAATAAGGGTAACATAAGCAAGGAAGTGGGTAAAAAAGGATTAGTAGCTAATGCAATATCTAATAATAGCAAATTAATTATTGCTATGGCTAATAATAATAATAAAATAACTAGTTATAATTATAATTCAGATTTTAATTTAATTAATTCTTTAAGTATTTCTCCCTTACTTGTTACTTGCATTGGCAAAACAACTAATAATAATAATTCTTATTCTAATTGCATAAGCAATTTTGCTAACAGCGTAGGGAAACCAGTTGGAGTAGGAGTAGGAGTAGGAGTAGGAGTAGGAGTGGTAAGCAAGGGGAGAAATTGGTATTTAATTGAAGATTTGCAAAAATTATTTATATCTTATTTTAAATCAATTTTTTGTTTAATAAGTAAAGCTAAATTTTATCAAAAAGCAGATAAATTAATAATTGAAATATTTTATTATATTACTATTCCTGATGCAAATATTTTTTCTTGGTTTAATATATTAAAAAACCCTTTACTTTCGCTAAAGTTAAATAATGTTACACAACAATCACAATTAGGTACATTACCAATGCAAGGATTGCCAATGCAAGTAGCTAATACAAAAATAAATAAATTAAAAAAAAATAAAGTGATTGAAATATTAAGAAAAATGGAAGATTCACAAAACTCAGATATATTTTTTAAATTAAATATAACTAATATAAATAGTTTATTTTTAGTTAAATTTAAATCTTTAGTAAGATGGTTAAATTCAATTTTTATTCAACCAATTGAATTAAAATTAATAAGATTACATCATTCTGATTCTGAAAGTCATATTTTAGCTCAATTATTTTTCTTAGTTATTAAAAAGAAAAACATAAGAAGTGTTATAAATAAAATATATAATAAAAATAAAATTAAAGACATTAATCTTGCTTATGCAAGTAATCCATTTGTAGAAACAAATAACAATAAATTTATTCCAGTTTTTATATCTGGTTTATATATTCATATTGGTGGAAGATTAATGAGAGAACCAATTATTCCTAGAATAACAACTAAAAAATTTGAAAAAGGTGCAATATCACAAGGAAAAGTAAATAGTTTAGAAAAAACACAAATAACTAGAAAAAATAAAAAAGGGGCATTTACTATTAAAATTACTTTCGCTCAAAATATTTATTAGTTAATGCTACCCTATTAGCCTAAGCTAAGACTCTTCTACTTCTCTTCTAGGTAAGAAAAAGGTCTTGCATATGCAATACGCTGGTAAGAAAATTTTCAGCTTTGGCATCAGATAGTATCGCCAGTGCAGCAGAATAAGAATATATTGCTAACAGTTGCAATGCTTATTAAAAAAAAAAAGATTTGCTATAAATTAATAATCCCCCCTTGTTTTGCTTCTTGTAGTAGCTAACGCAAGTAGTAGCTAACGCAAGTAGTAGTTATTGCATTAATTACTATCGCCAGCGTATTGCATATGCAAGCAGATGAGTTGCATATGCTTATTAAAAAAAAAAAATATAATTAAAAGAAAGCAATTAAAAAAAAAAAGAATATATATAAGAATAGATATAATAATAGCTAAATAAATATTGCTAGTTGCTTTTTTACTCCCACTAACTGGATAGTTAATAATAAGAATCCGGCTGGGCCGGAAGAAAAAGGTAAATAGCATATATAATACAATTATTTAATAATTCTTGCTACCGCTAGGATTATTACTAATTAAACTATCAGTAAGAATTTAATTTTGGTTCTGATTGAACGTTTTTCAGTAGTCTAAGACATGCAAATCGTTTGTTCTATAGCAAGTTAATCTTGGAAACAAGTTAACTAAGCAAAGAACAAGGTGTACAGGTGAGTAATGATAAATTAGATACCTTATAGACCTCTCAAATAGAGGATAGTTTCTAAATATTAGGAACATAGAATAGCTTTTCTATAATAAAGGAAATTTTCCGCTATAAGAATTGATTTATTTTGTTTAATGGTAGTTGGTAGAGTAAAAGCCTACCAAGCCTACGATCAATAGTCAAGTTTGAAAGAACCTCTGGCCACATTGGGAATGAGAAGTCCCAAATTGCATAAGCAATCTGCAGTCAAGAATATTAGTCAATGCTCGCAAGAGTGAACTAGCTAACTGAAATCATAAAATCATTTAAAAGTGGTATTTATGATAACGTAAAGGAAAAAAATGATGTTACTTTACTATAAGTGTTGTCTAAATTACTGGTGCCAGAAGACTCGGTAACGCCAGAAACGCAAACGTTAGTCGTCTTTAAAAGGCGTAAAGGGTAAGTAGGCAGTTTACTAAAGTTTTTATTTAAAAAGCTCTTATTTTTACTTACTATTAATGCGTAAGCATTATAAGTGAAAATAAGTTAAAAATAGAACGAATATAAACTAGAATCATATAGAGGATAAACCAAATAATATTAAGAGTAGGGATGATATCCTTAGATACTTAGTGGAATACTAAAGGTGAAAGCTTTTTATCTAATAATGATTGACGCTGAGGAACGAAGGTGAGAATAGGAAATAGGATTAGATACCCAGATACCTCTCACTGTCAACGATGAATGGTAGTTATTAATTTTTAAATTAATTGATAGCGATGTTAACGCGTTAACCATTCCGCCTTGAGAGTACGGTTGCAAAACTGAAACCAAAAAAATTAGTCGGTCTCGAAGCAAACGAAGTGAAGCATGTTATTTAATACGAAAGTACGCGTAAAATCTTACCAGTTCTTGTATATCCATTATATCTCTCTCTTACTTCTTATTTACTCTCACAAGTGGAAAGTAAGGAAGAAAGGAAAGAGAGATAAATATAATGAGTAATTTCTTAATTAAGAGAAATTCGTTTACAGGTGTTGCATGGCTGTCGTCAGTCCGTATTGTGAAAAGTTAGGTTAACTCCACTAACGGACGCAATCCCTGTTGTTAATTTATACTTAACAATTTATGAATTTTAAATAAATTCATTTGGGACTAAGACAAGTCGTTATGGCCCTCATGAACTGGGCTATCGACGTGCTATAATAACTTTTACAAAGTGACGCAAAATCTATATAATTTTATAGTTAGAATAAGCAAATCATTAAAAAAAGTTAATTGATTTATATAGACGGATTGTTGTCTGAAATTCGGCAACATGAAGGAGGAATTTCGAGTAATCGTTGATCATTACGCAACGGTGAAGCTTATATTCGGGATGAACTAACTGTCTGTCGCTGGGAAGAAGCTTGGATAGAGAGAAACTACTTATTTAGTTATACTTAATAAAAAATTTTGTTTAACTCTTACCTTAGTTATTATATAACTAAATAATTGAGTCAAAAACCTTTTTTATTTTTATATCTTAAATACTAGTGTACTCTTCTGAGTAACATCTCAAAAGTCATAGCAAGGTAGCTGTACTGGAAAGTGCCGCTGGATAATAATTAAAGATTTAACCCCCCCTTGCTAGTTATTGTAGTTACGAAACTATCAACTACTTACGGTAAGCTACTACAAGCAAATAATTATTAGCTATTAGCTAAGCAAGAATTTTATTTTTTAATAATATAAAATAAATAGGTTTCAGTTAATAACCTAAAATTTAAAACAAGTTGTTGTAACTACTTGCATTGGCAATAGAAGTAATTAACGGTAGCAAATAAATTTTATAAGAATAAATAAGTAAGACGAGTATAGTTAAGTGGTATAACCTCTACCTTCCAAGTAGATATCATCAGTTCGAATCTGATTACTCGTAGAATTTCTCCTAATGCAAAGCAGTGTTGCTTTAAATTTTTGCAATACCCTCAATATCTCATTTACCTTACCTGTTAAAAAAAAAAATAATTTATTTTTGTTATTTAGCAGATAAGAGGATAAGTGTAGCTATGCTCTTATTTTTCAAAATAAAGCAAAGTGCACTTAAAGGAGAGATAGCTCTTTTTTCTTACCATTTCCTTTTTTTTTTTAATTGCTTGTAGTTGCGTAAGCTACAACTACTTGCTTATGCAATAGCAGCACTTGCATAAGCAAAAAAAAATTAGTAGCTAAGGTGAAAGCAAGGGGAAAATTTAAGGAGTTCTAATAAGAATAAGAGAGAGATAAAAAAAAAATTCTTGCTTAAGCTAATTGGTTATAAAAATTTATAACGTAAGCAATTGCTTCTGCTAGAGGAAAAAAATTGTTAAAAATAAATGCCTCAATTAATACCTTTTTTCTTTTTTAATCAAATATTATTTTCATTTGCAGTATTATTTGCAATAGTATATATTTTCTCTAAATATATCTTACCACAATTTACATTTCAACAAGTAATTAGATTATATATAACTAAATTAAGTAAAAAAATATAATTATTTACTAAGCTACCCCCCCCTAGTTACTCCTTGCGGTAGCAATTGCAGAAGCAATGCGCTGGCGTTGCCAATGCAAGTAATTAATGCAATAACAATTATAAGAGTATTTGATCAATTGTTTGACATGTGCAGTAAATTTTTTAGGTCACTTCGTTAGGAGTTATGAGTTATGAGTTAGGAGTTAGGAGAAAATTTTTATAGCAACTTGCGAAAGCTACAGCTGCAAATGCTGTGTGGATTGCCAATGCAAGTAGGTGGAGAAAAATAAAATTCATTTAAGGTCCCTTAGCTTAATTGGTAGAGTATCTAATTGTCGATTAGAGGTGTTTCAGTTCGACTCTGGAAGGGATCGTTTAATTTAATTGCTTCGCTAACCTTTTTTTTTTTTAAAGCGTTACCGCAGCAGCGATACGGTAGAAAAGGCAGTAATAATTTACCTTAGAGAGAAGTCTTAACATTAATAGCTATAATTATTAAAACCTAGCGGTTACTTGCATTGGCAATACAAGCATTAGCAGCTGGTGATGAATAAGATTAATTTTCAGTTTTCATACTGATTGCGTAAGCCTTTAAATTAGCTACGCTTAAAAATAACAATGCAATTATTTAATTATATAAACTCATATTTTACTTGCATAAGCAATAAAAATGTTTTAAGTTGCATCAATAATGATGCTCCTTTCCCTTGGCAATATGGATTTCAAGATAGTGCCGCACCAGGATTTACAGGAATAGTAACTTTACATAATACACTTGGATTTTATATGATTGTAATTTTTTTATCAGTAGCTTGGGTATTATTTTCAGTTATCTATTATTATAATGCTGATAAAAATCCATTTGCTCATAAATATTTAACACATGGTACAGTAATAGAATTAGTATGGACAATAACACCTGCATTTATTTTAATAGCAATTGCTTTCCCATCATTTAGATTATTATATTTAATGGATGAAGTAATATCACCTACTTTAACTATTAAAGTAGTAGGACATCAATGGTATTGGTCTTATGAATATTCTGATTTTATAACTGATACAGGTGAATCAATAGATTTTGATTCATATATGATACCTGAAACAGATTTAGAATTAGGTCAATTTAGATTATTAGATGTTGATAATAAATTAGTAGTACCTGTTGATTGCCATATTAGATTAATTATTACAGGTGCTGATGTAATTCATTCTTTCGCTGTTCCTTCTTTAGGTTTAAAATTAGATGCTGTACCTGGTAGATTAAATCAAGTATCATTTTTAGCAGAAAGACCTGGTACATTCTATGGTCAATGCTCGGAAATCTGCGGAGTTTGGCATGGATTTATGCCAATAGTAGTAGAAGCAGTATCTTCACCTGATTTCTTAGTATGGATTGATTCAGTAGCATAATAACAGCTTACCAGCACAGCAGACCTTTTGTTGTTGGTTATTTTTATCTTAATAACCCCCTAGCTTTTGCATAAGCAATAAAAATAAAAAATAGTTGTAGCAACTACAACAACAAGCAAGGATTGCCAATGCAAGGGAAAAATTTAATTAGCTAATTAATTATGGTTAGAATGTGAGAATTGCTTTTGCATAAGCAAGCAATTAAAAAAATAAGCATTGCAACCGCTAGTAATAAGTAATAAGTAATAAGTAATAAGTAATAAGTAATAAGTAATTAAAAAAAAAAATTATTTGCTATTGCCAATGCAAGTAGCTTACGCAAGTAGTTGTAACTAGCAATAGTTGCTAATGCAATTAAAAAAAGTTAGTGTTGCATAAGCAAGGAAATATATTCCAATTTGTATTTAAAGAAAGAAATAAAAGGTTTGTATATCTCCCTAGTTACTTGCTATCTCTCCTTTACCTTGCTTATGCAAGTAACAACAACTAACAAAAGGAAAGGTTACAATATAATCAAGAGTAGCAGCGAT